TCACATCCCTCAAGCCACAGACAATCAGGTAAGTCTTGTAGTAAATGTTCGTCAATACGTAAATGCTCTGGCCATTGGAGATTGACAGCATTTTTAAACATTTTTTTCGATGCATGCCAGATCCAAAAGTGCCTAGAGCTGGTGAGTCGAGCCAAGAAACCTGTTATTGTGCTGGGTAGCCAAGCAACACTACCCCCAACACCAGTGGATAACATCAGGTAAAAGATGAGTCACGTGTCCTTTTATTTTTCTGCCACTCTTTGTTGTTTGGTGTTGATACTGGAAGTGTTTGTTAAAATGTGTTAAACTATTCCTGTGGTGAGCCTTAAGCAAATTTTTCTTCAGTCTTCAAATATCAGTGAAATTATATTTTGGTATTTTTACTTGGATGTTACATCTGGTCAAAATGGTTTCCCCCTTTTTAAAAAATGTTTTTATTTATTTCATTTATTTGTTTATTTTAAACAGGAAGGCTTTGGAGGATCTGGGCATCCCCTGCTTTCTCGGGGGTATGTGTCGTGGCTTGCTGGGTAAAGACAGCCCCATCCACATCCGACAAAACAGACGAGATGCTCTGAAGGAAGCCGATGTGGTAGTCCTGGCAGGTCAGGCAAACATTGTTTCCTTTTTATTCCATAATGATAAAAAGAGAAATAACATTTTGAGACCAACCTATTTAATATTAATATTATAATCTAAAGAAAATTGTGCAGGATAACTGCGTTTCAAAATATGTCGGAGTAAATATTTAACAAAGTTCCACGATGGATCAGTGTTATTGATTGCATTTTTAATTTTTCAGTAATTCTTTTGCATCTTTTTTTCTCCTTCTGGATTTAATTTATTCTGGAAGTATGTGTTGCGATACAGAGAGAGGTTAAACTGTGTTTTTTACATAGTGTGTATAGCTGCAGGCTCACCACGATCCCTGGAGAAATATTGACTTTTGTGCACCGTGTTTACAGGCACTGTGTGTGACTTCCGGCTGAGTTACGGCAGAACTCTCAGCAGACGCAGCAAGATCATCGCTGTCAACAGAGACAAGACACAGCTGCTAAAAAACTCAGACATGTTCTGGAAACCAACTATAGCAATTCAGGGTATGTTTGCCCCCTGATTTCATGCTAGCTTTAAAGGAAGGAAAGATTCAAAAATCTTTAGATAATCATAAAATATTGTACATGTGGTGCATATAAATATAAGCATACTCCTGATTTTTTTTTTTCTTTAGAGTTGGACCTAAGAATAAATACATTAATTCAACAACTGCAAAAAAAACCCCCCAAAACTGTATGTTGTATTTTCAGGTGATGCTGGATCATTTTTAGTGCGACTTTCCGAAGGGCTGAAGGGCCATCGCTGTCCAGAGGAATGGCCTCAGAGCCTCAAAGCAGGGGATGCGACCAAAGAAGCTGCAAACAAGTAAGCAGTGGGGTTGTGTTAAAGTATGCATTGCAAAATCTTCTATCTGTAACCATCACAAAAGCTAACATGTTGCTTTTTTAAAATTTATTTATTTTTTATTTCAGGGCTAAAGCTGAGGAGAAGACTGAATACCACTTAAATCCCTTGAAAGCCCTCCATTGTGTGGATGAGCTGATGGCTGAGGACAGCGTCATTGTTGCAGATGGAGGAGATTTTGTAGGAAGTGCCGCTTACATAATGAAACCAAGAGGACCTCTGTGTTGGCTCGATCCAGGTAGGATGCTGCTGACAAAGCAAATAGTTTAATTAAAACAATGAAATATTTTGGTTGTTTAAACCAAGAGCTTTATAAGTAAAACAAAAATCCATAGTGCACAAGTTTTGGCTGGATGATAACTATATTCTGAGTTAGTTGCAATCATGATGTTTTAATCTTGCTCTTCATTCCTTTCCTATAGGAGCCTTTGGGACTCTGGGAGTTGGAGGTGGTTTTGCTTTGGGGGCTAAACTGTGCCGGCCTGAATCTGAGGTATGTCTGGGGAGCTTTGCCTGATCATCTGATGATCAGTTTAAAAAATCATTGACGTTTTAAAAACAAAAGCTATGTTGTGTTTGTTTCAGGTGTGGATAGTCTATGGTGATGGCTCCTTAGGATACAGTATTGCAGAGTTTGACACATTCACTAGACACAAGGTAAAATCACACACAATCCTATTTAGATTACATGTATGTAATCTATGGAAGCAAGGTAGCTAACAGTAGTCAGTTAGGATCAGTGCACATGTGGTCTAGAGAAAGATCTAATGATCAAAACCAAATGAAAATAATGAAAGTGTTAGCTACTGGTGTGTACGGCCTTAAACATCACAGACTCAGTTCTTGTGTCATACAATGGAAAGATGCACTACATAATATGTTTTCATACTTGCTGTATGACCGCTATGGACCACTGACACGACAGCTTATTTAAGCATTCATTTTTTTGTGTGTGCATATTTTTCTGCTGATGTCTTTTGATAATGCATGCTCTGCTTTTCACACCTCAGACACCAGTGATAGCTCTGGTGGGAAATGATGCGTGCTGGAGTCAGATATCCAGAGAGCAGGTTCCTATGCTCGGCAGCAACGTGGCATGCGGCCTTGCATATACAGGTAGATTTATAATGTTCATGTTCGTGCTGTGATTGGTTGTAGAATACACTCAGTGATGTCTGGGCATATGTTAAAAGGTAAATTCTCTTCTTTTTGCAGACTATCACATCGTGGCAGATGGCTACGGTGGTAAGGGCTACCTTATAGGCTCTGAAAATGAAGAAAAGTTAAATGATATCGTCAGACAAGCTCAGAGGGATGCCCGGGAGGGCAAGGCTGCACTTATCAATGTTCTGATAGGGAAGACCAATTTTAGAGATGGCTCTATTTCGATATAGAATATCTGTGTAATACAGTAACCATGCATTATTTATCCTTTAACTCTGGCTACCCTGATGGACTCTTAATATCTAGGTTTGTGCAGGATTCTTTTAGTGTGACCTGGATCCAATCTCTGCTAGTGCACTTAAAGCCATAATTCACTCTGATAAATCACCTTTTAGTGTGCCGAGCTCTCTTGGATCACTTATTATTTCCTCCATCAGACTAGCAATGAATTCATAGCAAATCCACTATATATCAGTTATGACTGTTATCCTCCCTGTTGTGATACAGATATTTAGCATTAAGTTTCACTTAAAACATAGCTCCATACCTGCCAGCCTAGACAACGATACAGTCTGTGCTTAGAATTTTCAGAGAATAGCTGCTGCATTTTTTTTAAAGGGGGGTAAAAGGGAAGGTTAAGGGATTATTCCTGTTTGGAAATTTTGTGGTTCAGTTTTTGACGGTTAAACAGCCGATTACAACTTTTGCAAATAAACAGTGAATGAAATCACTCGTGTGAGAGAGAGCATTAGCTACCAGTATGCCTTTTTCTCCTGTTCTGACATGAACACATAGCCTTTTTATGTGGACACAAGGCATCTTAGAACTGTATGTAGTTCATAATTTATAATTTAGGAAATCACTTTGTAGAATGGGGAAAACATTTTGTTTTTGAATGTTGATAACTGACTAACGGTATGCCTTCATAACGTTTGATTGTATCTTCAAAATGCATTGCCATGAAGAGACTGAAAACGTGTCTGCTGATTCGATTATATGTCTAAACAATATTTGATACTAACTTGTTTGCAGTGATATGGGCTAAGCCTGTACACAGTTTGGATTGCACTATTATCGTAAGATATTTACTCACCAGGTGAACACATCAGTTATTACACTCCTGTATGTACTGTTGTCTTGTTTGGCACATTGTGTGTTGAAATTTTAATCATAAAATGTTAATTTGGATTGATTCTGAAATAAATTTTTAAGAAAGGAGGTAATGTGAGTTTTTTATTTATTTACTTATTTATGTAAAACTGATTTAGATGTTTTAGGTGGCATGTTTACAGAAGTTTGTAATGACAGCAAGCATTCATTATCTCTGCATCACCCATCAACAAAGCCTTTACTCAACGCATAAACATCTCTGTACTTTTTGTATTTTCGCAACATCAACACAAACCAGTTTAAAAACGCTAAAGATTCGAATCGTGCTTATCGTAACAGGTGACTTTTGCCCCAAATTCTTCTCTAGGTGCAGTTAGTATTTCAACCGGGAGATGGCAGTGCAGTAGTGGTATTGTTAAAGTCTGTGCTGACGTGTTGTTTAGCATACGTTATAAAACAATGTAAATGTAGAATTTAGCGTCAGTTGTGAAGACCACCGCAGTCTTTATACCTGAGAATAATTTCATAAAAATTAATAAAGAAATTTAATTGACAAAAAAAGTAATAAAAAGTAAAGTTGCACCTGATAGCGTCATTATTTATTTTGGTGATGTTTAATCACAAGACTTTGAACACAAACTGATTCATCTCGGGACATTACACATCTATTTCCACGTATATATGACGTCAGTAGAAAGACGAATTCACATGCTTTATTGTCCCTAAAAGGTAAAATCTGCACAAATAAATAAATCAATAGAAATTATTTCTTAGTATTAACTCGAGATTCTCTATAACATCTGTATAGAGTACAGACGTCTTGCCTAGCTGGACGTAACACGGGAAGAAAAGCTCAGAAAATCTGCTGCTTTCAAATGCTCTTTGTAAATCTCCCGTTTGTGGGTTTGAATTTTAAAGCAGGTCCATTTGTTGGTTTTTTTTCCTTAAATAAAACTTGTTACTATACCTGGGCTGCCGTGGAGGTCAGAAATCTATTTGTACATTACCGTGTCGATATAACTATCAAAGCATAGTATATTTAAAAAATGAAATTGCCCTAATCTTTGGTTTGAAACAAAGTAGAGCCTCACCTATCTTGCATTTAAAAAAAAAGAAAAAACTCAACACCTCTGTAGACTGGGTGCTTTTTTCGACACGTTTAGCCGATAGCTACAACGATGCGTGAGTTGATCTGTGTGCCTCGCATCAATAAAGACTGCGGAGCCATTCGCTCAGCACATGAAGGCATCATATGACCCGGTGCACTTCTCAGCAGGCGGCGACTTCAACGGTACCGCTGAAGTTAAGAGAGTGACAATGTGTAGAAAAGCGGTGTGAGCCGGTAACGTTTGTGCTGTTTGCGCTGCTCCGAAGAATAAGTGACATAAGTTTTATCTAGAAGGACTGGTTTATATCGGATAGCGGATTTAAATGCTCTACAATCATCATGACAAGTAAACAGGAGGCTAAATCAGGATTTTAAAAACACCTAGAAGGTAACTCGGCTCAGAACATCAGGGAAGTTAACGTTTTAACTGTAGCTAACTGACGTCGCCAGTTCGTTACATTTTTAGGTTGTTTAGTAAAAGACACTGTCTATACTGTAACTTTACCGGGTTGGCTTAAACACCACTGAAAACCTAAAAGCTTCGAATTCAGATCAGTTTCCGAGCTATTTCACTTTACAAAGGACTAACTTTCGCCTGGTTCGCATTAAGAGGATTTCCACTTTAACCGAAGTAAACAGTGGGCATTACCATACCGGTACCAAGGTGAGTAAGCTATCAATACTGAACAATGTACCGTAGCATTAGCTGTTAAATGACGCCGTAACACGTAATCGATTGTATGTAATGTCACCGAAGTTGTGTCTTCAGAAATTAATGTTGTCATGACGAACTGCCATAGGTTAATTAGTAATTACTACTAATTACTCATGGTTTGATATTGAACCGGTGGAGCTTTGAATTAAAGCTGGAGTTATAAAAAGAGAACAAGTTACATGTTCTTGTTATCTAGTTAATGACTAGCTTATGTCATACTCCTACTTTCCAGGTACAGTAGCTTTACTGAAGGTTTGAGGTAAGGTGTGCTTGCAGGAGGAAATGAATAAGTAATTTACTGTTTGCAGAGCAGAACAGGGACATGCGGAACAAGAACAAAGGCAGGCTACATTGATTGACATACCTCCCCCCTTTTTTGACAGGTATTTTCTACTGCTCTGGTAGGATTCAGTGTAATTAGATTCTTCAGAAAGCTTCACACACCACTCCCATTTAGGGTCCAGACTTGTTTTGTTGTGTTTTGCTTGGTTAACTAGTCACTCCCTAAACATACTGCACAGAGGCTCTTAATTGATCATGTTTTCATTACAGGAGCTGAATGGCCTCTGTTGTAGCAGTGAAAACTGAGAAGCGGCCTGCAGTGGATTCTCAGGATGCAGACTCCAATGCTAAAAAGCCCAGGTAAGCTCAGATGCTGCTTTAGAGCCAGCTGCACGCTATGACTATAACTAATTCATCAACAGGGCTGATTAAAATCTTTTCTTTTCTTTTTTTTGAGTTCCTAATTTTTGCGGGCCCTACATAAAAGGTATGGTTTAGTGTCCGACTGCATGTTAGTGGGCTTGAAAATAGTTTGTTTAACCTTCATGCTGTCGGAAGGATTTGGGAAGTACCATCTTGGGAACCATCGTCACTCAATCTCTGCCTACCCCAAAGGAAACTGCTGCCCAGTCTGAAGACTAAGCGAGCCCCCGAGCTTGTCCTGGTGATTGGTACGGGGGTAAGCTCTGCAGTGGCCCCTCAGGTCCCTGCTCTCCGCTCCTGGAAGGGCCTCATCCAGGCCTTGCTCGATGCAGCCAATGACTTTGACCTACTGGAGGAAGAGGAAAATCGGCGGTTCCAGAAGCACATGCAGGAAGACAAGAATTTGGTGCATGTGGCCCATGACCTCATTCAGAAACTTTCCCCGGTAAGCCTGCTTGAGCCTTTCCTCTTCGGCTTTCTTTCCTACACCTCCCTGTTGCATGCACACTAACACATGTTAGACAGACTGGCAGCTTAGTGTGCTTTCCCCAGCTGGAGACATTTTGTTTCAGCTTCTGTGGCTTGACATAAGAGATCATAAGAGGTTAAAACCTCTATAGCCTATAACATAAGGTTTAATGTGGATTGTTGTTGTTTTTTAAAAACCCCACAAAAGTCAATACAGGCAAACATTTATTCAGTCATTTTGAAATTATTTGCATATGTAATAGAACAAGCTATGTTCACTGCCTCCAGGTGCTTTATATTGGAACAGTTTTGACTTTTAAAATGTTTAGTTAAGTAGTGCCAGTTTGGAAGTGCATCCATGTTTTTTTTATTTTGACTTTTGATTTGTTCCCGTTTTTAATGTTAGTAATAACTTCTGTGTCAGAATGCAGAAATGAAAGCAGAAGTTTGACTTGATATATGAAACTTCTGGATTAATACTAGAGGGGTATATGCCACGTTAGAATAAAGGAAATCTCACAGGTGACGGGAAGGTAGAGAGTAAAGGATACAAATGTATCTGCAACAAGCTAATATGCTGTTTAAAAGGGAAAAAACCCCACAGCTTACAATCATTTCTAAATACAAACATTATATATGTTATATACAAAAAGAGAGTAGGATAAAGATAAAAGCATATAAATAAGATTCAGAAATGCTGCTGCAGTATCTCCAGTATAACATGGGTGTCTTGCACATCTGTCACACTCCACACACCATTTATGTTTTGGAGCAAACCACACTTTCTTCATTGAAAGTCTTTCTTAGTTTAACAGCTCAATGTCAAACCACATTCTGCACATAATGCAACTGCTTCTTAGTAAGAGCCTGAATGTTAAACTGAACTTCCAGCAGCCCAGACCGGTCGCCCTTGTAAAAAAATATTTTGCTAGCAAGGCTACAAATTAAAAAAAATGTGACAAGATCTTCCCTGACCTGTTGAGTGGGAAGTATTTTCCTTTCAAAATTGCTTTGAGTAGAAAAGAATCAGTCCATTTACCCTTTACAGTGATGACTGATGAAAGCATAATATTTTGAGATATGTAAAACATCAAAGGTAAATATCATAGGTTAATAACACCTGAAATGTTATGATGAGCCAATCAAGGTTACCCAAGCTGTCAGGAATTCCCTTTACCTGACCACCTAATCATAACAGTAACCTTACGAGCTTTCACAGGCTCAGTGACACACTGCACAGAAGAGGTGTGGTACTGCCAGAATGCAGTGATGTCCTGACAAAAATGACACAGTCTAAGTGCATGTTCTATATGTGTTTATCTCTGAAAAGGGTGTGGCAGTTAAGATAAAGGAGAGGAGGCTGAAGATAAAGGTGAATTCATCTGTTTGAGGAGGACTGAGACTCAGCTGGAGCTCAGGATTTATCCAAAGTAGAGTCACATTATTCTAAATTATTCAACCGTATAAACCTGACATTTGTGTGTAACCGCCAGCGTGTACTATGTGTAGAAGAACACAAAACATTTACAGTCAGATCCTGAGCCCTCTTGTGTGTTTTTGAAGACGGTTACTGTGCCATGTGTCTAAATGCAGCGCATTGCTATCATTTTTTCCCACAGGCTGTGTGAGGCTGCAGGTGAGAAAACAATGTTTAGTTTATTTATTTTTTTAACCAAACCACGGCTCGCTGGACTCATTAGTTTGCTAGATTGATAGATTTACATGTGACTCAGTTCTCTTACTATTGAACCAGTCTGCTCTGGAGCTGGGCTGGCAGATGGAAGACTTAATACCGTTTGCCTCCTGTGTTAGTCATGTTTCATCGCACCTTTGACATTGATAAAACACGCTTTGTTTCAGCCCTCAGCCTGTTGTAACAAAGGGAACAAACAGCGCTTTTATGGCTTTATCCATCGTGTTTATTTCAATCCACAGTCGTGCAGACACCAGCCCACTCCCGTTGGCCACAGACACAGCCGGGTCTAACATGCTGAGGAAAAAAAACAAGCACAGAATAATGTGAACCAGCAGTCCCCCACTCCCACAGCCCAGATTTCACATTCAAGCAGAGTTAAAGTCTAGTGCAAGCACACAGTAATGTATAGTCTGTATGAGTGTTAAATGCCTATAGGCATTTAATTCACAAAAACCTATGTGCAAATACTTCTCTTGGTGAAGAGAAGCACACATGCTAGCACTAGAGCTAGGTAGATGTACACTGTAGTTTTACTCTGCTCTGGGCTAACACAGCAACTGCTGTACAGTGCTTTAGACAGAACTCAGCAGCTGTGTAATAGTGTCAGAGACCTCCAATAACATAAGACAGAGACAGTTTAACCCACTTTCATGGATTTGTGTATTCGTAGGGTGGCTGCGGTCTGTAATGGGGGTAATCCAAAGTTAAAACCTAAAGAGACTGTCTAGGCCTGAAACCCTTGGCAGTGAAGAGGCTAATTACAAGTGTGCTGACCAAAGGTTTGGCTCAATTCAGGGAAGACGTGTAATTTTGATAGTTGTTTAGACCATAATCTGAGATGTTTAATCTTCAATTTGTATTGCAATGACTACTTAAAACAAATCATAGTATTTTGTAAAAAAATATTTTTCCACTGAACTCTCTCTTACTGTGCTCCTGAAAAATTAAAGTGTGAGTGTTTTTGTTTGTAAAGCTGCTAAGTGCATTATAAAAAATTAGGATTAGAATTACAAGACAGAGTTGGTCTCGAGTGCTTTAGTTGGTTATTACGTAAGTCCTGACCAGAGACAGGCCAAGGACACGGCGGTCAGGATGGGTGCTGTAGACGCTGGATGTGGATAATGAGTTTCTTCCTGTGGAAAGGACTCCTGCTGTTTAGCCCATTAGAGCTGTAATCTGTGAGAGTCCGCGGAGTATTTCCTTGTCCTAGGATCACAGTGGTCAGTGCATTTCTGAATTGTCTTTTAGCTATTCTTAGCAGCCCAGTTCCCCCACCTCCACCTTTTTTTTTTTTTTTTTTTTAAACTAAAAGCTTCACCAGGTGAGGATGAGGTTTAAGTCATAGTCTGTAATCTCTAAATAGACTTAAGCGAAGTCTATTAGTTACTAGAAGAAGTAAGTGAATGTGCCTTAGACAGTTTTTTCCAGCTATCTCATTCTTCGGCGCCACCTAAGTTTCACTTAAATTATCGTGAAGGGCTGTGCCAAGGAGAGGCATTTTAACGACAAGTTTAAATCCTTTGTTATGCCTGAATCACATGGCTGCATTAGTAAGGTGCGCTCAAGTTTGGTCTAAAATGCTCATTTAGCAGTTGCAACTAGACACAGGTCTCCAAACCTACTACATCTTGAAGTAAAAGCCCCAACTGGGCAAAAAACTATCCACTAATAACAACGTGCTTTTCCTTTTTCTTTCTTTTTAAACAGAGAACAGGTAATGTAAGGTCCACGTTCTTCAAGGACTGCCTGTACGAAGTGTTTGATGATTTGGAGTGTAAGATGGAGCACGCAGGGAAACACTTACTGCGGTCAGTGCTGCAGTTAATGGAGAGCGGCGCACTCGTTCTCACTACCAACTTCGACAACCTGCTGGAAATTTATGCAGCCCATCAGGGCACCAAGCTGGAGTCTTTGGACCTGACAGATGAGAAGAAGGTAAATATTACTTGAAATGTGATTGATTGATCTTTCTTGCTGCAATAGATGCCGTCAGCTGTTTGGGGGTTTTTTGTCTTTTTTTTTTTTTTTCTCAAATGAGGGCAAAGGTCCCCAACATCATGTGATACCACGAGCACTTTGGAAGGTTTGTAGGTATGACTCCCTAAAATTCAGACAAAATAAATGACAAATTGAAATCTTGCTTAAACTTTGCCCCGAGCACTGTCTTGTGCTCTGGTTACATTTATGACACCGGCTTCCACTGAAGTTCCCCGTTGGCCGGTTTAGGAGAAAAAATAAACGAGGCTTTTGACCTGAAAGAGCCCTTTCTGTCAGGCAGGTGGAGGAAAGTTTAACTTCCATTTTTAATCATTGAACAATATTTGATTTTTGGCTTTAAAGTGGGCTGAAGAGGAAGCACATGTTTTTCTAGTACAAAACGTTTCTTTTAAGTACCAAATAAGTTTTCTGCAAATTCTCAGCTGCCCATCATTTATGTCCCAGCACATTTAAACTTAGCTGAGTGGTTTCTTAAAGAGAACACAAGTTTGCCAGAGTGAGCAGAGATTTCTGAGAGACCCGTTACTTTGCCTCTCAGTCCTGGTATTTATGCCTCATCTCCATCAGGGCGAATATCCTCTCACTGCTGCTCAGTGATTGCGCTCCATTCCCAGCCAGAACAGGATTTTGTGCAATGGACTGTTAAGTGTGCACTCGTGTGTGCTTGTGTGTCTAGGTGCTGGAGTGGGCTCAGGAGAAACGGAGGTTAAGTGTTCTGCATATCCACGGTGTTTACACCAACCCCAGTGGTATCGTACTGCACCCTGCTGGCTATCAGAATGTATTGAGGAACACTGAGGTTATGGTAGGCACTAACGTTCACTGCTTTCTGCCCCCTTTTTGGCTTAAGATGTAAACATTTATATGTGTACATCTTAATGATTTACAATTTTCCTCTGGACATGCACTAGTTTATTTGAAAGGTTCTCCTGTGAATGAAATAATACAGCTTTATCACTGGGTGTTTTTTGCAGCGTGAGATTCAGAAGTTGTACGAGACCAAATCCTTTGTCTTTCTGGGCTGCGGCCGCACAGTAGACGACACAACCTTCCAGGCTCTGTTCTTGGAGGCGGTTAAACACAAGTCGGACCTCGAGCACTTCATGCTCGTGCGGCGAGAGGATGTGGGAGAGTTCAAGAAGCTGCGCGACAACATGCTTGACAAGGGCATCAAGGTCATCTCCTATGGAGACGAGTACGCTGACCTGCCTGAGTACTTTGAGAGGCTGGCCAATGAGATCTGCAACCGTGACGTGTCCACCAATGGCTGGGGTAAGCAGAATGAATTGGAACACATTAGCCTGCCTTTGAATGATCTGCATTAAAGGGGCCATCACATTTACAAATTTTTTTTATTATTTTAGCACTGGGGCTCTATAAAAGAGCTTTCAGTTTATCACAAGATGAGAAATAAGGACAGGAAAGAGGTCATGGATGTTCTTTCTTTGTCAGTATCTATCAAAAATCTATCATAAATGTGGGCTCTTTGTGATCTTTTTATCTAGAAAGGTGCTATACAAATAAAATTTTACTTGCTTACTCTTTGCACGTTGTCTCTTTTCAATGTGTATCCGCAGGATCCCCGTCGCAGAACGGAGAGGAACAGCAGATCGGTATTAACACACAGAAAAGCCTCCTTCAAGGTTAAGACTGAACTCGTCTCTTTGGCTCGGAGCTGCGGCCTCTCGCTAAAGACATTTTCAGACTAAACGTCCTGTTCAGAACTGTATGCTGGTAGAAAATCCAAGTCTGTCTTGAATTTTAGTTACAAAAAAAAAAAAAAAAAAAAAAAATACTGGTATTTTTTTCCACAAACTGGTGTGGCAGTATTAACAATTGTCAGTGGCATCATTTCAGTAGATGTTCTTTGACTTTTTTTTAAGCTTTTCAGACAATTCCTTCCACTTCTTTTCAACCCCATACTCTTGACAGATGCATTTTCTTCCACAGCTTTACTCACAGATCAAGTCTGATTTTGTTGAATACATTTAGGAATCTATGGGGAACCTTAATTACATCATTATTTTTCAGATTCCCTTCTCATTCCGTTTTTAACTAAAAGGGAAAAAAGTTTGCCTGGCATCCCCTACTATACTGGATTTAAATGTTGCTGGAACATCCACTTTGTGGGAAGCATCCGGGTAACTGAATGGGATGTTCCCCTTTCAGTTCGACAGAAACACTACATGTGAATCCACAGTAGTTAAACATGCTGTTATGCTGAATTTTCAACATACAGTAAATACGCATTGAGCTTAATGCACAACCCCTGCTCTCGATTTTAAGTCTTGTGTGAATAGATTGAATCAGTCACGCTCATCCCACAACCTGGAAAACTTGATTTGCACACTGCTTGGTGGGGAAAGGGACGAGTTACTGTAACGACTGTCGTAAAAACGTACATTCAGATGTTTTCATATCAGAGCGGTTCCCGGCAATAGCAACCTCTTTGCCACTCTTGTGCTAAAAATAAAGAAAAAAAAATAGTTCTTTAAAAGCCCCTTTTTGTACTTTTAATACTTGCATGTGTTTTCTGATGTAGTATTTATAAATAATAAGCACCATTTTCAAAATAAAGCTTTTGGTATTCCATCTGTCCTTTCGTACATGCATCTCCAACACAAAGTACAACAAGCGCCACTTTAGAGGCTGTCATAGCATATAGCAGCTTTATTTAGAAACTTTTACATTCTCATAAATTATCTCAAATTTTCTTTATAGTTCTCATATTGCACTACCACATTTTAAAGGGGGGCCGAAATGTTTAAAACTTCAATTTTCTCTTACAAATGATGAATGAATCAGAGGGGGAAATAAGTCAAAGGGCCACAGAACTTTAATTGACCACTAAGAAGTGTAGTCTGACATCTATGGACACCTGTAAGAACAAGAAAAACCTAAACTTACAAATGGATTTCTGCTTTTCATCCACTATAAACTGGGGAATCAAAGTCTTCATGTTGTAATGGCAATGAATTAACTGTGTGTTATATAGGTGAGGAACTCTGGGAGATGACTTTTAGATCATAACTGTTAATTTGCTCAGGAAATCTTGATGCACTGCCCTGTCGACCTTGATTTTTCTATGCCGTGATTTTCTTCTTGTTGAACACAAAAAAACATCTAACCTGATAAGTGCTGGTATTCACACCCACCCTATTGTAAATCATAAACTGTCTTCCCCACTAGACTAGTGGGGCTGCTTCTTCTTCTTCTGCAAAGCCATGAAATTAGTGGGTAAGTATCCACATTATTGAAGTGTTAACTGAGAAGACAGGAGACAGACAGGCACTGTGGTCACTAACCTTTCCTCAGGCACAGGCAGCTGCTGAAATGTCACATCCAGCAAACACGCACTACCCGACCTCATTTAGATGAAAGAAATCTGACTGACAAATGCCAGGTAGGGAGCTTTTTTCTTTTCCAAGCTTTTACTGTGTAAACCAGTAAACCGATAGCACAGCCTAGGTCCAGTCAGCAATTATATCATTTGAATGAGACTTCACCGTTTCAGAACACAAGCTGATCTGAGGTACTTTCTAAATTTGGCCCAAATGTTTAAAAATAATACAAAGGGAGGCTCCTCTGGCTTTGATGCAACACGTTCTGTCTTTTCAAATGCACACTTGTCCTTTTACTGGAAGAATAACATCCTGCGTGAGACATTTAGTTCATTCATTTGATTCCAAAAGCAGGGGGCGCAGGGCAGCAGCATGGAAACGTGGGCTATAGCGGGGCTGGAACATCTTGTGGCAGTGTGGCAAAGGCTTCTCTGCAATGATGAATAAACCAGAAGAACATGCGGCCAACTTAAGCCTTCATCAGGGCGCTGACCACAGCACGGGCGTTGAGGCTACGCAGGTCATTGTAGGTCTGCCCCGTGCCCACAAACACAATAGGCTGGCCTGTGATGTAAGTCATGGAGATGGCAGCACCAACCTGTATAGAAGGAAGGATGACGAATGAGAAATAATGCAAATTATTCACAAGGCAGAAAGCAGCTGCAAACTAATTACCAAACTGCATTCAAATATTCTCTAAATCACAGAAATGAGATGGCCCCAATGGTAAAGTGATCAGAATAAAATACCTTGTCATCAATAGTGTCAAACTTGGTGAGAACAATTCCATCAATGAGGCGAGGCTTGTCAGACATGGAGTGGTCTGCCAGAGCCTGATTAAACTTCACCTATGGACATGAAGCAAAAGCAGAGTTGTTCAGGTACAAACTGCTGAGGAAAGAGTTCACATGTAAATCTCCAACCTAATGCTGTCTAGAGGCAGGGGTGTAACAAAACAGCAGCTTAATGCAATAGCACTGCCCTCTGCTGGACAATTGAATACATAGAATTTTTTTTTTAACCTAACCAAGTTCTTTTTTAGTAGCGTTAGACACTGACTGAAAGCTCTAGCAGCTGATCGCATGACTCATACAGATATGAACTAACTGTTGTATTACTTCAAATTGAAAATGAACTAATTATTACATCTTATATGTACAAAAAAAATATTTCAACTTTCTGAGTGATCTTACCAGCTGATCAACTGCCTCGTTGCCCACCAGAGCCTCCCCAACAAACAGCACTAGGTCAGGCATGTTGACTGCTATAAGCTTGGCCAGCGCTGTCATTAGGGGGGCGTTGTCCTGCATACGTCCAGCAGTGTCCACCAGCACCACATCAAACGCCTGGTTGCGGGCTACAGGGATCAAAAGTGGAAAGGTGAACAAGTGATACTGAAATGGGTGCAATGCTAATATTAAAAGTGCCACATCCCTTCTTTACAGCTAAGGTACAACACACTGTGCTGTGTGGCATCAACCAGCAACCCCTTACTAATGCCACAGTAGATTTTTGTTTTTTTTTTACCATAGGCAATGGCCTCCATAGCAATTCCAGCAGCATCCTTCCCGTAACCTTTCTCATAAAGCTGGACTACAGGTCGTCCACCGTGCTTCTCGGGGGGATGCAGAGAGTTCAGGCGGCGCTGGTGAGTGCGGAGTTGCTCCACGGCACCAGCACGAAATGTGTCACAGGCTGCGATCAGCACAGTGAAACCATTCTCTATCAGCCAGAAGGAGATCTAGACCAAGGGAAAGGAAAGTTTACCTTTACAAGGACACGGTAAATTACTCAAATTACCAACAAGCAGAAAAATTTCAATGTCAATTCACCTTTGCCAGGTTGGTGGACTTTCCCACTCCATTGACACCACAAAATGTGATGACAAAAGGTCTTCGCTGGCTCTGTGCTTCCATGACATCTCTCAGAATATCCACTCTTCGCTTGGGTTGCAGGATCTGCACCAGTGAGTCTTGCAGGGCCTGCTTTACTGTTGAGGCCACAGCTACACACACACACACACACACACACACACACACGGCGTTACCCATATGTGCTAGTGCACAACATCATTTACAGATGTAGTGTATTTAATATAATTACACCATAAAGTAACATAGTACCACAATTCATAATTACAATGAATAAAAGAAATGAATAAGTTGGAATTGCCAGTTAAGGCCAAGTATGTGAATCAAGTCAAGGGGGTCATACTGTTACAGCATTCATATCATCAGAGTTATTTTTTTAACAACAAGAGTTGCAGTTAATTGACTTTACTTATCAGTATGAGAGGCTCTGACATACACTTCATGTTTAAAATGGATTACTGTAATTTTATTACTCTTCCCAGCATGCGGACTGGTGCACTCAGAGGAAGAAGGAATATAAACATGATCCTTAAACCATACTATAAATTACAAATCAACACTTTGCTATGTATATAATGTGTACTTACTGGTGAATGTGCCCATGACTTTGCCCTCCAGTTTTTTGGCTACAGAGTCACACAGCTGGGAGGCAATGTCGGCTGCTACATTCTTTGCTGTGTGATCAGAAAGGAGGACAATGAATACCAGACAACGAATACCAGGCTATCATGCCTTCTGCAGCTGACTTCATACCGATCAGGTGGTCCTTCATCTTCTCCAACACTGGTTCCATATCCTCCCGGGTTAAACTCTTGGAGCCCACCAGGCCCTTCAGCATCCCAAACAAACCTCCACCCTTTTTGGAACTGAAAACGAAAGAAAGAAATGCACAAATTATAGTTTAGACAACATTAAAAATGTTATTCCTGATACTCTAAAACTAATATTTCATACCTTGGCTTGCTTGTTTCTCTGATGACCACTTCCTCATCCTCTTCCTCCATCTCCTCTTCATCACTGGACTCGTATTCCACAGACAGCAAGTCTCCCTTCATGGAGGCTGGCTGCATTTCCTGAAAAACAAACGAGGAACTAAGTATGTGGCATCTCGTCACTTATTTTAATCACATTAATCTAACTGCAGATGTCTTAGGGATCTAGGTGGTTAGATTAAAGACCACTAAATACCGGATCAAATTGTGCTTCCAGGTTCTGTTCGGCACCATTTGGAGAACCATTTCCATTCTTGTCGCTGTAGTCCAGATCCCTGGTGCTGCTGCCTCCATTGTTCCAAACACGATTTTGTTTCCCCTTTGGCTTCTGAGGCTTTGGCGACTTACTGTGAGAACGAGATCAGAATAAAAAAATAAATAAAAAATGAGTGTCTCAACATGCTTTGCACACGAGGAGGAAAGAAAATAATCAATTATCATCATCAAACCATGGCTCTAACACAACACAGCAGACAGTCACACACACAAGTAACACTTAATATAAGTTTTGGGGAAAAGAAAAATGAATGAATTTTAAATAATAAGGAAACAATTAAAAATAATAAACTTGGGATTCAGGACAGATTGATAATGACATCAAGATGTGTCTTTAAAACACACATCGCTCTTGGCCTGCTCTCTCTTTTACATGGAAGTATCAGCTGCTTTACCTGGGTTTTTCAGAAGCTCCTGGCCTGTGCTTACGGAAGAATTCCTCTCTGTTCTTTTGCAAGATCTCCTCAGCAGTCAGGCTCTGGTTACCATTCTCCACCATCTTCTGGCCAGAGGCTGAGGCCTTGTCTTGATCCCCTTTGGCAGGCTGAGCTGCAGGAGCTGGAAAGGATTAGAGTGAACTGAGTTTGAAATCACGTTACCCTTACCCATTTAGAGTTTGCTTTTTATAACCGAAAGAGAGCACTTACCCTCCTTTTTGGCATTTTTATTCTTCTTGCCACCCTGTTCCTTGCCTTTGTCCCCACCCTTTGTCTCAATCATTGACTTCACAGTTTTTTGAGATTTCCCAGATTGCTCAAAGGTCCGCATCCCGGCAGGGCCTCGAGCTTTACTGCTCTCCTCCGCCACACTTTTGATAAACAATTAATATATGTCAACATAGGTAATAACAAAAAGAAACTGTCAGGGATGCATCTTTCACTTTTTCTAAGTTAATAAAACAAACATACAACAAAACTATTAAATCTCACAGCTTTTTGATCATATTTCTTATGTGGCATGTAAAACAAATATTTACAAACATATTTTGGCCATTATCAAGACAGACTTGAGTTTGATTGCTGCTAAAATAAAATTTGAATTGGCTTTATGTTCCCAAACATAAAGCAAAGGAGTTCAAGTATTTATGAGGGATGGAAAGATAGAGTGCAAGTTGGGCAGATAGTTTGATGCAGCCTCAGCAGTAACGCGGGCAAGTACGCAAACGTCCAAGTGGACCCTCATGTTAGCCATCTGATGACGAAAACTGTGTCAGTGGGACCCAAGCGAACTCTAGCAGACTTGTGGAAAGTATAATCCCTGCCTATAGGGTGAAAAAGAGTGACAAGCTGTGACATCTGCAGGGGTCTCAGAGTAGAGCTGCTGCTGCTCCTGCATGTTAAAAGCTGCTGAGATGATTCAGGCATCTGGTTAGGATCTCGCCTGGGCGCCTCCCTTTGGTGGTTTTCTGGGCATGGAAGGAGACTCTAAGGTAGACTCAGAACCCGCTGGAGAGATTTATATCTTGTGCAATCGCCCAAGAACTGAAAAGTGTGGCTGGGAAGAATCACATCTGGAATGCCCTGCTTACCCTGCTGCCACCACAATCTGAATTTGGATTACCGGAAGACAATGAATGAATTGGCTTTATATTACTAATAACATTATTTGCACATTTCCATGCCTACCTACAGACATTGGCCTGTGTGTTGTTTGGTACCTAAGTGTTTATTATGGAAATTATTTTGTTTCTTTACCTGAGAAGCACTTTGAAGTCATTCTCAAACTCAAAGCTGTTGTTGAGCAGCTTTAAAGCTCCCTTCTGCTCCAGCTCATTCTTATAGCGATCCCTAAAGCGAAGCTGGACGTCATTTATAAACTTGTCCACATATGTCAGCGTCAGGATCTTTTGAAAACCCACCTAGAGATGCACAGGTGAAACGAGAAAAAGGTAATGATCATAAACACATATAAAACACAAACACCTATCCCCACCTGATTTTTTTTTTTAATTCATTCAATACTTATATGAACGACTTACCACAAAAATCAACTCAAACTCGTTGTCGAGCTTGTATTTAAGACTCAAGCCCCCATGACTAAACGAACTGTTCCCACTTCGCTCCTGAAAAAAAAAAGAACATCAACAGCATGTAAACGGGAGCTTTTGCTACTGCAGCTATCGCTGTGTGTGTTTTCAACCACCTAAATTACGTCACTATAGCACAGGAAATATTAAACTTATATATGAATGAGTGGTATGCGGGGGGGCACACAGCCCAGAAGAAGCTTATTTAGTTGATCGCTACGCCATAAGCTAGTGCTAGCATGAGCTACCCGCTAGTGCTAGCATTAGCTGGCCCCTTGTTACAGAGAGCTGGATAAAAAGACAACAGCCACAAGCAGCTAGCCGTGAGGCTCACCTGAAGGATCACCGAGCGGATCAAAGCGTTGACCGGCCCCGTGAAGGATTCAGTGACACCGGCTCCCTGAAAACACCACAACACTATCCCCCCTTTGCTGAAGATGGTGAAGAAGTCTAGCATCTTCTAAGCACGTACCTGGTTTAAATAAAAACACAGACAGATATGTGGATAAAAGCGAAAGAGAGCCCTGGGTTTATAAAATACAGTGTCGTTTTAACGGCTCCTGCCTGCCATTCAGAACACGAACTCTTACCGGATAATACTTAAACTGATAATAAATGCCCCAGGAGTGAAACCCACTACCAGTGAAAAAACTGTTTTAGACACGTCAGAGGCACGATCAGGAAGTGATGTTGACTTCCGGCATTTTTTTTTTTGCTGAGGTTTGCGCTTGCGCAGTGTTCATTTCAATGAACCGGTAGTGTTTTCCTGTCTATTTTACCAGTACCAATGCCAATATTTTTACCAGTTACCTGTAAAAATAATTTGTATTGGGCCTGTCTCTTTAGGTCAACTTCTGTTGTTTAAATGTGTTATAGGCTATAAAAATAACTAAATAAATACATTAATAAATAAATTAATACATGATTTATTCATTAATGTGATTTTTATCATAATAATAATAATAATAATAAAAAGGACACGTTGAGATATTTTTTTTCATTCCCAAAATATAATTTATCTAAAGCAATTAAGTGGGTTATATACTAAACTTAGAGGTTACAAACAACATAACACTAGCGTCAATCCCATACCAACGACAGCACTGGTATAATACCAGCGATCCACCCATCTCTTATGTATCTGGGGGGATGTTCTCTGGAGCAAAGTGGAATGAAAGCCAGTAGAAGCAAGACAGATTACATGTCCGAATGAGAATGAGGCGAGTGTAACTGTGAAGCTGTAGGAATAGAGGTACTGAAGGCAGATGAGTTCTAATTCCTGGGGTCAACCATCTAAAACAACAGACAGTGCATAAGAGAGGTCAAGAAAAGTACAGGAAATGTGGAATGGGTGGAGACAAGTGTCAGTGGAGATTTGTGGCAAGAGGATTTCAGCAAGCGAGGAAAGTAAAGGTTTGTAAATTGGAAGTGAGACCTGCTATGATGTATGGTTTGGAGATGGGGGTACTGACAAAAAGTGGATGTTAAGACTTTCATTGGGCGTGACCAGGGCGGACAGGATTAGAAATGAGTTCATCAGAGGAACAGCTCAGGCTGGAAGCTTTGGAGACAATGTGAAAAAAAGCTAGGCTGAGGTAGTTTGGACATATACAGAGATAGTGGAGGTAAGAGCTGAAATGGAGGCAGATGAACCAACCTGCCATTTATTAAAAATGTAATAAAAACAAGCATATACACCCAGCACGCCCCTGCGGGCGGTTTATCCTTCAAGCTCGGGTCCTCTACCAGAGGCCTGGGAGCTTGAGGGTCCTGCGCAGTATCTTAGCTGTTCCCAGGACTGCGCTCTTCTGGACAGAGATTTCCGATGTTGTTCCCGGGATCTGCTGGAGCCACTCGCCTAGCTTGGGAGTCACTGCACCTAGTGCTCCGATTACCACGGGGACCACCGTTACCTTCACCCTCCACATCCTCTCGAGCTCTTCTCTGAGCCCTTGGTATTTCTCCAGCTTCTCGTGTTCCTTCTTCCTGATATTGCTGTCATTCGGAACCGCTACATCGATCACTACGGCCGCCTTCTTCTGTTTGTCTACCACCACTATGTCCGGTTGGTTAGCCACCACCATTTTGTCCGTCTGTATCTGGAAGTCCCACAGGATCTTAGCTCGGTCATTCTCCACCACCCTTGGGGGCATCTCCCATTTTGACCTCGGGACTTCCAGGTTGTACTCAGCACAGATGTTCCTGTACACTATGCCGGCCACTTGGTTATGGCGTTCCATGTATGCCTTGCCTGCTAGCATCTTGCACCCTGCTGTTATGTGCTGGATTGTCTCTGGGGCATCTTTACACAGCCTGCACCTGGGGTCTTGCCTGGTGTGATAGACCCCAGCCTCTATGGATCTTGTGCTCAGAGCTTGTTCTTGTGCTGCCATGATTAGTGCCTCTGTGCTGTCTTTCAGTCCAGCTTTGTCCAGCCACTGGTAGGATTTCTGGATATCAGCCACCTCCTCTATCTGCCGGTGGTACATACCGTGCAGGGGCCTGTCCTTCCATGATGGTTCCTCGTCTCCCTCCTCTTTCTTGGGTTTCTGCTGCCTGAGGTATTCACTGAGCACTCGGTCAGTTGGGGCCATCTTCCCAATGTATTCTTGGATGTTCGTTGTCTCATCCTGGACTGTGGTGCTGACACTCACCAGTCCCCGGCCCCCTTCCTTCCGCTTATCGTACAGCCTCAGGGTGCTGGACTTGGGGTGAAACCCTCCATGCATGGTAAGGAGCTTTCTTGTCTTTATGTCAGTGGTTTCTATCTCCTCCTTTGGCCAGCTTATTACCCCAGCAGGGTATCTGATCACGGGCAGGGCGTACGTGTTGATGGCCCGGATCTTGTTCTTACCATTCAGCTGACTCCTCAGGACTTGCCTGACCCTCTGCAGGTACTTGGTGGTTGCAGCCTTTCTAGCGGCCTCTTCATGGTTCCCATTTGCCTGCGGGATCCCCAGGTACTTGTAAGCATATATATATATATATATATATATATATATATATATATATATATATATATATATATATATATATATATATATATATATATATATATAAAAATTCCCTGCTCACCCCCTTCAAGCTCAGGTCCTCTATCAGAGGCCTGGGAGCTTGAGGGTCCTGCGCAGTATCTTAGCTGTTCCTAGGACTGCGCTCTTCTGGACAGAGATCCCCGTATAATTGGTCTAATCCCTGCCTATAGGGTGAAAAAGAGTGACAAGCTGTGACATCTGCATGTCTCTCTCTCTCTCTCTCTCTCTCTCTCTCTCTCTCTCTATATATATATATATATATATATATATATATATTAGGGGTGCAACGATACACAAAATTCACGGTTCGGTTCGATACTTTGGTGTCACGGTTCGATATTTTTTCGATACAAAAAAAATGTTCATGCCTTTTTAATTTGTCATTTATTAAAATTATAAATATATATTTTAACTCAAAAGTACAGTTTTTAAATTTAACCCTAACCCTTGTGCGTGTTTTTTATTTTGACAGCGAATGCGCACCTGCGGACCACTTATGTGCAGCCCTGGTTATTTAGCTCGTCATATTGCAGCCACAGAAATTCTTTTGTCCATGAAACCATAAAGCTGCACTTTCTTTTTGCCTTATAGTCTGATTTATCATAACTTCTCCGTTTTGTGGTAAGCTTTTCTTTGGCTGTCACTTCTTCACCCTGACCTGTCTTATTTGGCTCAGCAGAACTGAAATGCTTTTACACACTCACTCACATAAGCTCAGCGATTCTCTGCGCGATCAACCTCTCACATGTGTAAGCTGCGGGAGATTTCACTTGTCATGTTTGCATAGTAAGCTAACGATTAATAAGACGATGTCAGAGGAATTGGTGCACAAATTATCATCACTCACAGATCAGTGCTGTCGCTCTCTATACACAGTTCACACGATTGCAAAGTGAAAGCAAAAAAACAAGCGCAAATTCAAACAGGACTTCAATATGTCACATATTGACAGTGGCTCACCGATGCCAATGACATAATTACCCAGCTACATTTCCCGAAAAGAATGCAAAAGCATTGACATATATTTTTCCTACAATAGCCCGACGGGCAGGGCAGAGATAGATTTTGGTAGCCCGACTGAAAAAATCGCTAGCTCCGGGACGTCGGGCTAGCGATATTGCAAGCCCTGTATCTGATTGAGGAATCACTCATCTTTGGAAAAGAGAGTTTATTACAGAGAAATGTCTCTTTCCAAAATAAAAGCTATACTATCCGCTTCTTCTGGGCTATATTCTCAGCAGCATAAGGAGAATCATGTGCTAACAGCTGTCTAAATGACTCGGCTAAAGTTAGTAGCATGCTTGCTTTTTTTTTTGTCTGCTTCCACTTGTCTTTGCACTACGATGATGTCAGCGTAAATGTGCAGTCATATTCGTTGTGTTCCCGCTAGTGCTTTCAGGTTAATCTCGTTGAAATGACCTTAACGCCACAACACGGCAAATCTCCGTTAAGGAGCTACCGCCGATCGCTCCGTGCATGGGGCTAGACGGCCAACACGTTAACGAGCTAACTGCACTAACACACTAGTTCACACCAATGTAATTGAGCATTGCATGGCACATCCAACATACTGTTTTACTTTAGTCCATGACTCGCTTACCTTCAGGGTCATACGTCACATGAAAACCAAAATAATTCCAAACGCCAGATCTGAATGAGGGTCAATTTGCCTGTTGCAAGGAGAGCTTAACTTCTGTCTCGCTAGCTTGCCCTGCGCTCTTCCTTCTGACTATGCTGTCTGTGTTGAGTGCTCAGTGGATCTGCGCTCGACAGTGCAGCCTAGGCGGAGTAGTCGAACACAGATTCACTGAGCGCTCAACACAGACAGCATCGTCAGAAGGAAAGTTGATAAAATAAATTACAAATGTTGTATTGTTCATACATATGCGTACCGAACCGAAAGCACTGTATCGAACGGTTCAATATCGATACGAATATCGTTGCACCCCTAATATATATATATATATATATATATATATATATATGAACAACTGATGGTACAGACAAGCAGACAAAAAGAGAAACAAAAAAAGTAAATATGAAACCACCAAGAGGAAACAGCTGGGTTAAGTTAACCAGCAAAAATTCCCCTACAGTTCCCTGAGTACTCAGTATAAGCTACTACCTAAAGAGAAATTTCAGGTAAATAATTGTGTTATTTGATAGTAATAATATAGGCCGAAGACAGGACAATTAAAATCTAAGCTAATCTAAGTCCAATTAAAGAAAAAGTCCTCAAATTAAGGTCCAGAAGTATTATTGTTTTATAATATTTTCGGTTATTACAAAGTAACACATAATTCAATATAATATATATTGAGGTAGCCTAATAGTTGTATCAGTGTCTGTATGTAGTCAAACAACAGGCTCTCAAATAAAAGAAAAAACATTCAGTTAAATAATACTTTGCACTATGCTTATTATTTCACCATGAACTCGAGAATTCTATAATAATAGAATAATAATAAAATTGAACAATGTTCTTTTACATTCAAAATTAAAATAAATGAGCTTTTGTCATAAAAAATGTTTCATTTAAAAAGGGAAAGAGAAGTTTCTTCATCTTCTTTATCCTCAGTCACATCAAGAATTATTAAGAACAGCTTTTACCGACCGCTTTTCTCTCTCTGTTGCTTTTACTTTT